GGGGAAGGCAGCATCGCTGCTTCCATAAATATGGACATGCTGGTCGCCTGGGGGAAACACCTTACTGCCTTCACACTCCTGTCGCAGAGGACAGTACGACTTTACTCCCAGACCGCCTCGTACCACGATTACTCGTATTGCGGGGTCTCGATGCTCTTGGTCTGGCTGCTCCCCTTTGGTCTTCCTGGCATGGTTGCACCTTGTGGAAGGAAGTTCTAGCCAGTGTAGTCCGCGGGATCACTGCAGCACTCAAGCCCGACCACCACGTCAAGATGGCAGCTTTAGAGCAGCCAGCAGGATGAAAACACTGGGACGTGACGCCATATATTAAGGCAGTGGCTGAAAGTAAGTTAGGTTGTATCCTCCGGCTTGTCGTGCAGCATACTACCACTTTTTTCGGGCACTTTCTATATTGATTATCTGGCCCTCATAATTTAATTGTTGACTGATCGATCGTATCTATTCTACGTAGTGTAGAGGTCGTTCTCGTTAAATTCGTCACAGGTAGACCCGTCCAGCGTGTTTTGTCAACTTTTCACCCTATTTCTCTTTACTGCATCCCTCGCTTTTCTTGAGGTCGCCATGGGAAGCGGTCAATCCTGTCTGACTCGTGTTTTGAGGTGTAGCGCAGTGGTTGATCAAAAGTGTCCGTTTCCCGGTAGTGGCATATTACCAGTGTGACCGCCGATTCACACTTATTTTTATTCCACGCAACACACGCAGTTCTCTATTTTTTCATAGTCTTCTGCATGATCCTTGACGCCTCAATAAATGAAAGATCTTTTCCCGTATATTCACAGTACCTGTCTTGACCACAGTGCTGTATTTTGTTCACTCTAAACCTTATTATTCTCTATTCGCTAGTCTTTCTGACGAGCCCATCTCAACAGATTTGGCGCGCTCATGCCCATAGGCTCGTAGACACAGCACTGGATATTTCTGTGTCACGTCCTGCGTCCCGTCTGGATTGGGGCATCCCGGTGCCCGACCATCCGGATCAAGTGGTAAGTAATAAAGCCGTATTATCTTATTCACTTTCTATTGAACAGCTTGTGAGGATCTCAGTGTCCTGATGCTTCAACAGCAACTGGGACATCTCGCCATATGGTCATTTGTTAGTTCGTTTCAAAACACTAAACGCTTTATGCACCGTAATTTTATTTATTGTGGCCAGATCTGTCGTGTTGGGGGAAGTGGTATTCTTCTGTCTTCAGCTACTCTCATCAAACAACATACTGTTTGAAAGTCCAATTTGCTTTCTTCCAAACTTGGTGGAAAGCTCACTGCAAGAATTTTTCATGTGCGGAAGAGCATTCACGTGTTTAGGTAAACCACTTATCGGAGAAATCTTTTTGTTAACCCTTGGTATTATGAAATTGCGGTTGATTCGCCGGCTCAAGTAAGGCACTGTGTCCAGAACTCATCACAAACGATCGGCTTGAAGTTTTTGGTCACGTTGACTCCTTCAGAGGAACCGTGCGAATCACCGACATCATCTTCCTCGCTGTTAGAGGTGCAAATGTCAGTAGTTCACCGTCTGAAGTCCGAATTTTACCTAATCTAGACTTACTGCCTAAACTATCATTTTTCTGGTCGCAAGGGGAGGAACACGCACTACTGATTTTAGTGTTAAATCCATCCGGGTAATCCTGTTTACTGCAGCCAGTTAGCTAATGGTAAAAACAGTAACATTCGAGAAACAAGTCACCTTGAGTAGTGTACTGGCAGGAAATGCGCTCAGCATTAGTTACCAACGTCTTCCTGTGCAGCATGTTCACTGTTTGAATCTTTACTACCTCATTTATAGAAAATGCTTTTGTATGACACCAAGGTGTTGATCATTTTTCTTTTTAAACTAATTTTTTCTCACTGTTACGCATCAAATGTGCTTCAAGACTGTTCCTCGTTAACCGATAGCTTCGTACTTCATATTATTCCCCGTGCACCTTCAGAACTGCTATGATCGGTGTACTTCCTGGGTGCTATTTAAATTCTCTTCTCTGGGCGCATTTTGAAACCGGAATGTGCTCAGTTCAGTTCGACACCCCTGAACCATGTATGCATATTCGGTAGTTCGGGTTTCCGTAGCTTGTGGTCACTGGTTGCGGGACATCGCCCTGTTATGGAGTGGCAGTAAATTATCGATGTCAACGCTGTTGTTGCCATTTACGACAATGAACATCGCAAACGACAGGTACCGGTTAGTCGTTGGAGCTGATTGCCCAACTGGGTCATCATCCTTATGACTGACAGCAATGCACCGGCAA